TGTGTGTGTGTGTGTGTGTGTGTGTGTGTGTGTGTGTGTGTGTGTGTGTGTGTGTGTGTGTGTGTGTGTGTGTGTGTGTGTGTGTGTGTGTGTGTGTGTGTGTGTGTGTGTGTGTGTGTGTGTGTGCAGCTGCAAGTGCTGCAACCGAATCGGCCGCGACTCCCGCGGGCGATCGTTCATCAACATCAACTGTCAACAAGTCGCGCTGGTGAACCGCGAAATCCTTGCGCGTGTATATATATATATATATATATATACACACATACATACATACATATATATATATATATATATACATATATATATATATACCTATCTCTTTCTCTCGATCGTGGATTCCCGTAATGACGTGTTTCCCAGAGTAAAACGCGAGATTGAGATCTCAGTGGTCTGTCATTAAGCTCTTTAATAAACGTAAATGGCGATTACGGCAGAAATTGGATATCCGTTAAAGCACTATATCAAATTAATCTGGGAACGGGACGTTCTTCTTTTTAACGGGGTTTTTCTTTTTATCCGTGACGCTTAATCCGCTAAATTTCTGCGCGCAATCGTTAAACATCGCGGCGCGATAATCGCTCCGACGATTAAATTCCCGGCTGCGAAAAGGCCGTTTTACTACAAAGGAGAAACATGTGTCAGAAACGTGTTTTCCCTCGGCTCTCCACCGCGCTCCCGCAGAGAGAGCCTCGACGGGGAAGTGGAGGGTAATGCCAGACAGACAAGGACGCGTGAACTTACGTTCCTAGCAGATCCTTCAGGACGTACTTGTCCTCGACGGAGGGCGATCGGTCGTCCTTCCCGTCCTTCTTGATCTTCTTGTTCGTGTCCTTCTTCCCGAAGAGCGGCATCTTGGCTCTCTCGTGGAGTATCTCTCCCGCGCGTGTATATATACGTACAACAACAACGTATATCTCCGTACGCAAACGTATCCCCCGCGTATCTGTCACAAACGGCGCACACTGTATATATTTTAGGGGGAGGGAAATATCTTACGTCTCTCGACCCGCCGCGCGGTAAAACTCACATTTGTGACTCCGCCGTATACTTATACGTTAACGCAAGCTGCGAGTAGTCCGCCGCAAGGTCCGTCCGCGGGAGACTCCTACAATAACGTGTAACGACCGATCCGGCGATCGGGGAGGGGGGTATCCGGCCGGATGATCGCGACTCGTCGTCGTCCACCGGCGCACTGGCAGAGGAATATACCGCCGTCGTCGAAGCCCGCCGTCGTCACCGTCGCCGCCGCCGCCGCAACCGCCGCCGC